CCCTTCCCCTCCCTTCCCCCCCCCCCCCCCCACACCCTTCCTGTGGCTGGGAGTAGAATATTTAGTATTTGGATTCTCAGTACCACCCTATTCCAGCCTCCCCCCACCCAATATCATTGAATGCTGTTTGCTGAAGTCTTCTCCATGTCCTCAGGTGTCCTGCTGAACTCAATTCATTGTTCTTGCTGCTGTTGGCGGTTGACTGAAGACGTTATCCACATCTGTGTGCAAACGCCCCACTGACTGCAAAGATGGAACTGCAAAAGATGGGAAGTGAGATCGGCACTGAAAGACTGAACGGTACCATACTTGATAGTGACAAAGCAGCTGTCCTGGAGGATGGGTGAGTCTTTGGTAGAGAAATTGGTTTGTAACACACCCTGTGTAGTGTAAGATGTTCGACTGGGACCAGGAGATCCAGATCAAGTTCCCGCTTGATTGTGAAACTGACAACTGACTTTAGACCAGTCATACTCTCAGTCCTGCCTACCTCACACTTATGGGGATAAAATAAGGGGGAGACTCTGTATGTACACCACATTGAACTCCCAGAGAAAAGGTGAGATATAAACACAATAAACAAATGTACAGGTAGTCCTCACTTAACTATGGTAATTGGGACTGGTAACTCCGTCACTAAGCAACACCGTTGTAAAGCACAGTGTCACGTGACCATGCTGACTTATGACAGCAGTTGCGGCAGTCCCAGTTGCTGCTGTTAGGTGACTCCCACATGGTTGCAATGTCTCATGGTTGCATGATCGCCATTTGTGACCTCCTGTTGGCTTCCCCATTGACTTGGCTTGTTGGAAGCCGGCAGTGAAGGTCACAAATGGTGATTATGTGATTGCAGGATGCTGCAACATCATAATTGCGAGATGGTTGCCAAGCACCCACATAGTGACCACATGACCACAGGGACGCTGCAACAGCCACAACTATGAGAACCTCATTCAGCACCATAATAATGATCACTGAACAAGTAGTTGTTCAGCAAGAACTACATTTAAATGAAAATTAACTGAATTCACAATTCCTGAAGTTTTGCAATCTGGAACATACATTTATGTTCCCACAATATCTGCACTTTGCAGATGTGGGTCACAGCTCAGAAAGCACAAAATGCAAAGATTATTGAATGATTATTGCAAGGAAAGATGAGTAGCTTACAATTGAAAGGGGAACAAGAAACAACCTAAAATATTAAATTACAATTAATAAACCCCACACTTTTGGAACTTGTATCTATATATTAGGAAAATGTGTATATAAATTGTGAATTTTAGGAGAAATGTGCATAATAATTGTATATAAACTTTTGTGCAGCCTTCAAAACAAGCACAAATAAGTATAGAAATGGAACAGAAAGAAATTAAGACTGGGGAAATGGGGAAGGGAGTGGAATTGACAATTCACATATTCTTAGTTAGGAAGCTAGGAAGAAGAGAGGGCTGGGCATGCAGAATTGGGCAGCATGGGAGAAAGATAAAAATTAACTGAGGCAGGCAGGATGGAAGCCAGAAAAGCAGGAATTCAGGTTAGGCAAAGAGCCATCAGAGTAGTTCCCCACATGGGGGAAAAAATCCTGTAACACAAAGAGCCCTGGAGGCAACGCCATTGGTAATTTAGAAAGATACAGGTTGAGAAGCAATACTGGCAAAACTAGTACACCGATCATCAGTCTAAGCACCAAAGTTTTAGAAAGTGCTGTGCCAGCAGAAAAAACCCTCTTAGTTGTGTGTTCTGCCAAGCTTCCAATTCAGGCCTTTTTTCTCTTTTTTATTTTCACTGAAATTACCCAAAAACTGTTTGGGTTCGCACCCTGTGGTGAAGATGTGTCATTCCTTCCAGGTGCTAGGTAGGAATACTATCAGAGGTCATTGGCTTGATTTGGCACTCTCACATGTTCCTTCTTTGCACTGACAACAGGAAGCACCATTTTGCATAATCAACAGGCACCTTCAGTAGCAAGGGTATCAAATTTCCAGTTGTTTATGTGGTCCAGAAATTAATGGCAGATGCCTCCTTAAGCTACATTTGAATAACCATTTTTCATGCTCCAGATTTGGCATTGGATCACTAAATGGCAAGAGAAAGTAACCATGGCAGGACCGTTTACAAGGCCTGATCTCAGGTTTGACATATGGAAATTCTGTTCTCAGGAAGAATTTCCTGCTGTGAGACTTGGTGATAGTGAATAGCTGACATCTGTTTAGGTAGATTCATATAGAGGGCAGCACTGCTAGCTGTGATGGCTAAACAGAGCCTGCAGTTTGAGAAGAAGTAGGTCTTCTCTGTGGAACCTCGTTGTAGAATTGCACAGACTCTTTGCCTCATCGGTTGAGAATGCTCTGAGAGGAAGAGCAGAGAGTAGAAGCTGGTCGGTTAGCTGACAGAGCCTAGGCTGATACAGGACATATTGGAGGACTCACCATTTGAATAGCTCAGATTCTATATCCCTTCTATATATGAAACCATTTTGGGACAAATGGATTTACTGCAAGTATATTCCTACTGCAGCCCTCTGTGATTTCTTAAAATCTGTTTCTGCCCACCCCGGAGGAATATGATATGATACGAGAGGCTATGGAGGGATTGGGCAGAAGTTTCCTTTTGTGAATGGAAGTTCAGCTTAGGCTCCAAACCCTGACTGCCCAGTCTGGCATAATGATGAATCAGAATGATTGAGAATGTTGTTGTTTTGTTCCTTCATAGTCACGCACATCCCTGTCCAGCCTCTCCATTAAGCAAGAGTAAGGGAACTTGTGCCACTAAGAGGTTTTGGACTACTTTCCATCTCATGCCACTGGCTCTGTTGTTAGGGATTCTGGGAATTGGTCCAACAGATCTGGATTGGCCCAAGAGGGTACCAGATTGGGGAAGGTTGGTCTAGCTGTTCCCAATTCAGGATAATTGTTACAACCCGACACGGTAATTATCTCTAAATACATGAAGCAAAGGCAAAGCTTACTAGTAATTTAATTCATTAACATTAATGCACTGGTTTCATTGTACAGTTGCATCAGAATTTGGCAAGAGAGTCAAGATTGCCAAATATATATTTTTAAAAATTAACACTTTCATTTTATTAGAACAACCAAAACAATATGTAAATCAAATTAATAGTTCAATACTTATGTTAATTACAAAAACACATGATGGTTTCATCTACTTTCTGTTTCCTCTCCTTCCATTCCTTTCCATTGTCTCTCTTTTTTTAATTTAATTTTTATGATTCAGAAGAGAAAACACATAGAAAGTGCTTTAACAAAAAAGTGAAAGAAATACAACAAAGAAATAAAAGTTGATATGTCATTGTAACAGTAAACAATTACAATTCTATAGTAAATACTTATCTAATGCAAATGTTATTCAAGTATGTATTTATTTCTAATACATTTATATGACTGTCATTTTTTTTAACCCAGTGTATTTTATATAAATGAGTCCCATATTTCATTATACTTGTCCATACAAAGTCTACATCTCTAGGCAATCCGCTGGCAAGTAGCAAGTGCAATCAGGTCTTCAATCCATTGACTAAATGGGGCCATACATTTATCTTTCCAATGCTGCGATATCAGTCATTTGGGCATAGTAAGGGCAAGGAGAATCCGTTTACATTGTCTGGTTCCTTTCCATCATCTCTAAAGATTCAGATATTCGAATTAGAACAGAGCATGCCTTGAGTTTATAATACTTAGCTTGAGCCATTGATTTGTGATGCTAAACAGGTACAGCTCTGGTGTAGGACTGTACTGACCCTTCCTGTTTTTCCTTCCATTTCAGGTATGAGGAGGAGGAACGTGTTTCAGCAGAACAAGATGGGTTCTTGCCTCACACTGCCAGCAAGAAACTGAGCCAATTCACTGATGTAGGTGATGATGTCACTCCGATATCTCCAACTCAGCTGGGTCCACAGGGAGTGCAGAATGACGAAAGTAGAGCTGTGATGCAAGGCCTGCCCTTCTTATATGTGCAACGTGGCACTCATTGCCTGCACATACGATAGGGCAGAGCTTGCAGTGGGGTGCCGTGGCACTACTTCCGTCATTGTGATGAAAGCAGCGAGCTCCTGCTGATTCCCAATCCCCTGCAAAGCAATTCCCCTTGGTAGTAAAATTCAAATCTGTCAGCTGTCTCTTAATGCAGTTTGCAAACATCTATCAATCCAGCATGCCCTAATGAAACAGGATTGAAGTATTTTCCTTGCACGTCATTTATTTTTTTACATGGGGGAAAAATGTCATTGCACAACTGTTGCAAGTGAAACATAGTTTATGGTTCCAAGAATATCTCAGGCTTCTACTGGATGTTGCCCATGGATATTATGTGGGTTTTTTTAGAAGTATTACCTCATTATGTTTTATTATCTATTTATATCATGGCTCTGGAGTAGTATAGCACCCACCCATGTTTTCACTTGACTGCCATAGCTTCATTCTGTTCATGCTGGAACCATCTCTTCTTCTGAGAACCATCTTTTGTTGTGTCTTAGAAGTCTTAATTCGGGTATGTTTCCACAGGCTGAATAAAATGAAACATTTCAGGGCAAATGCTCCTCCTTTTATGGCTTGCTGTGAGTGGGTCTTATGTACTCTATTTTTCATACACGTCCATTCAGACATTCACAAATATATGGCATAAGAAATAGATGTATAAGAATCAGACTGGCACAGTGCAATATATCGGACACTACATAATAACACTGGTAACAATATAGGGACATTCATGCAGGCCAGATGTTTTGCCATTTCAAGTTTCTTTTCTGGATGACCCTTGGACATATAATGGCACTGTTGGTATCATTTTTTTTCACTTCATCATCATGTATTATATTTATATTAGGGTTAGTGCTTTGTTCTCCACATGCCCCAAAGGCTTCTTTCCACCCAATTTCTGAAACTTGGTTTTTGTTTCTTTTCTTAAATCTTGGCTGCAGTTTGAGGGAAAGACTTCGTTTGGGATGTCAGTCTTTAATCTGAGCAACGCCATCATGGGGAGTGGCATCTTGGGCCTGGCCTATGCCATGAGGAATACAGGAATCATCCTCTTTGTGTGAGTGTAACTCCCACAGCATGGTACCCAGGAAAAGTTCACAACCCAAGGTGGAGGAAGCAGGTAGAAACTCAGCCATAGTTTCTACCTGTGGGACTGCTGCTGAATGGATTGTAAGAACTAAACCCCAAGCAGGGATTGGATAGAACTTGTGAAAGTTCAGGTAGGTTTTGGCTAGAACTTGCAGTCCAGACGAGGATGGAAAGAATTCTCTTTGTCTCCAGAGAAGAGGCATTCCAGAGTAGGGCCATTTCTGTGGGAGGAGGGCTGGGTTGACATCTACTTTTGTCGTTCTCCCAGGGTCCTTTTGGTCTGCATTGCTTTGCTCTCCTCCTATTCCATTCACCTGCTGCTGAAGTGTGCTGGAGTTGTCGGTAAGTCATAGTTCAGGAGACTCCATAATAGTTATCATGCGGCACAGTGTAAGATACTGAACATAGGTATAGTGCCCATTGGGAGTAGAAATAGAATTTTATTGCAGGGGGTTGTGTTTAGGGGAGTTCAGAGTGGTGTTCAGAAGTTTTTGCTGTTCTTAGAATTCATGCCTTCTGTCAATTTGCATCATTAAACATCTAGTATCCCCAAGGACTGTGGCTTAACAGGAATTAGTGCAGGCTGCAGATTCCTTGAAACATGGTTTTGACATTGGTTGAGAGGGCCGTGCGGGAAGATGGATTGGCATTCAAAGATGGGCCTTTCTGTTGCACAGGCAGATTGTGGCTGAAGAGCACAATTTGTCCTCAGGCCACCATTATTACCAAAGTGCTGCATGCTTTTCTAACTCGATATGTTGAGGAATATGTCAGTTCCTGCTGCAGCTGGATTGATGAGTATGTCGACTGCTAGTGTGAAAGGAGCATAGTCTGAACAATGGTAAGATGAATGGACTGGTGGTGTTATCACCCCAGAATTACAAACCAACCAATCCAAACCCTTTCTCTCTTTCTCTCTCATATCTAGGAATTAGAGCATATGAACAGTTGGGATTGAAGGCCTTTGGCCATGGGGGCAAAGTGGTGGCTGCTGTCATAATCTCAATACACAACATAGGAGGTAAGGGCTTCCCACTTCTCCATTGGTTCAGAAAGGGAAAACAAAGTGATGTATATTTACATACATTTGCTTCTGGTAGTTGGGGATGGAGTTCAAGGAGGAGGTCTGAGTAAAGGACTCTGTGGGGCATTGTAATCTACTACTACTACTATGACTACTACAAACTGATTTGGAGATTATGATTTGTGACCAATATCCAGTTTCCAGCGTGAGGGTGAGGGTGCACAACCAAATGCCAATCTTATTGTTTCTCTCTTCCCCAAAAAGGGTATTCAGGGGATCCTGACAGCTTTCTCTTTTCACAGCCATGTCCAGTTACTTGTTCATTGTTAAATCTGAGCTGCCGCTTGTGATCCAAACCTTCTTAGGGCTGACAGCGAACAACGGGTAAGCGAAATGCCATCCAGTTCAATTCCCAGCTCTTCGTCCTCCTAACTTCATTCTATTTGAAATTACACAGGACAGATGAACATGCAGCAGCTCCTCAGTGAAAGAGGAGAGGAGAGGAGAGGAGAGGAGAGGAAAGGCTGAATTACACCAATCTTCTCCAACTTGACGCTCTTTACTTGTTGGAGTATAACTCCCATCATCTCAAGTCAACATGGATAGTGCTGATGGAAGTTGTAATCCACACTAGGAGAGGTTAAATTAAATGCTTGCCTCCAAATCTATTACAAAAAGGAAAACAAAGAGACCTGCAGATACTCTCTATTGCTTTGGTATTTCCCAGGATTAAGTGGTTAATTAGCTATTGCTGCTACCCCTTGGGCATTTTTCAGCCATTGCATCCTAAGTCTGGGGTGATTCCCAGTTGAAAGCATTCAGTATATTGACAATATCCAGCAGAGTTTTAATTATATATTGACTGTGTTCACCAAACATGCTTAATCTGTTTACTGAATCGATCCATTCTCTTGTTTGCAATATGCATTGAACATAAACTATTTAAATAGGTTGGGTTCACACAGCATGCTAAGCCACCAGAAAACCTAACCAAGGTTAATTCTAATCAAGCTTAGCATATTGGATGAATGCCTCTACTACAGTATCTGATCTGGTTAAGTGAGTTGTGTGATCTCCAGGGTCCCTTTGGAGGTACAACCCAGCCAGATCCATGATTATTTAAGGACTTGAACACTTAATGACCTTTCCTTGCAGAGCCAGTTTATGGCCATTGTGACCTGAAATGAAATTAGAGATGGTATGTCCATGTGAGGACCACGCCTCTTTCCCTCCTCCTCTTTCACTCTGCTGCAGCTTTTCCTCCAGAGCTGCTCTAAGGGGTTTCTGAGTAGTTTTATGGAAGGAAGCAGCTGGTCTTTTTGGCTAATTTTTCCTTCTATAAATGGATCCTCTGGGGCTTGCTGCCCTATTCGCATTCCTCCCCTGATCAGGAGAGTCTGGGACCAAGCCACAATGCTCTGTTGCTTGGAGGACTTAAGTCCCACCCCATGAAACAAGATGGGAGAAGGAGACAGAGATTATTCCCTCGTGAATCATAAACTGTCCCGAGTTAGGGGTGGAAAAGGATTTCACCACGAATTCTGCTGAAATGCCATTGGATGTCACAGTGGGGCAAATGTTAGCATTTGTAGTGGACAGATCCACTAGTATCTGTCTTTCTCCCTTACACAATTGACAACCATGTCTGAAAAAACTATGCTGTTGAAAGTTGGAAGGAAATAGAGGCAACTGTATTTAAAGGAGAGTTTACATTGTGGGAATGTCCATTTAAAAAGCCTGTATCTAAGGTCATTTATGTGTCATAGAACAGAAGGAGGGGTTTTTTTGCAATTTAAAAAAGGTTATTAGGCAGTATGTGTTCACAAGTTATGTAAAGTAGGGGAAGATGTTTAAAAAGGTATTCCTATGCTACAAGATGTTGCAAAAGTAAACAGTTATGACATTTTTTATGCGTACTATTTTAAAAATCTGTAGAAAAAGCTGTTGAACTGGAATATTGCCATATTACCACAGACAATAAAATGGACAGGATTTCTAGAGCACATTTATGAATGTCAAAATACAACCATGTTATACGTGATGCTATCTTGTTTTTTTCAGTTCTAAATCAGATAAATGTGGAACTGAAGCCACATTTCATCTTTACCATATGTCTAAAAAAATCCTGTTGTTCATATGGACTGGGGTAAAGATGGAAGAGAAAAAGGTCTGTGAAGTAGTCTTCAAACTTATGTTAGGTTATGTCAGTTCCTTTGCACTCCAGGGACAGTTCTTTGCATGTTAATCTACCTTAATTGATCTCATAAATTCTTGTCATTAAAAGTTCTGTTATGAATAACAGATTACTTCTTTATTACAGAGTATTACAATCTCAACATTAGGATATTATACTGGGACTCAGGGCAGTGAATGATTACAGCATCTGGAAATTCTTAAATTATTTTATTATTTTATTTTTAATAATAAGTGCCTGCACAGGTGCATCAAGCATCTACATCCATGCTTATAGCTAGCATTGTGATCCGGGGAGTAAAGAGAGGATAGTTAAGAGGGAAGAAGGTCTGAGGCGGGTGGGACTGCCTCTAGGAACAGAGAAGAGTTCATTTCCTTGTAATAAAATACTTAACAAACCAACTAGCTGGGCACTGCTGCAACTCTGCAAGCAGCAAACAAAGAAAAAGAGACGGCATAATGCAAGAGAAGTCTCGGGTCACTTTGGTCACTCACTGCTCGCTTATTTACATACTGGCATGCATATGCACGCCTTCTGAATTTCTGCTTAATCCAGTGAAGGCTAACTGTAAACAGATGTAAATTGAGCTCCTGCCCTGAATGCGGTGGTCATCCGTAGACAAGTATTACTTCTACCCCAGCAGTTCCTCTTAAGCCTTCCCTAACCTTGGTGCCCTGCAGATGTGTGGACATCAGCTGTAAGAATTCTCAGCAGTGGCTGTGTTAGCTGGAGAGTTTTGGGGTTTGAAGTCCACATACCTGGAGAGAATCCAGGTTGGGGAAAGTGGTCTTTTGGTGTCTTTTATGTACTCTTTTATAAGTGACTCCTCTGTCCTTGATTCCTTTGGATGACTGTCAGATGTTGTCCTTGGTAACAATGGGCTATCGGGGCGGATGCCTGCCTCTTGCCTCTGACAGGGGCACAGTGCTTTTCCATGTACAAAGTACACACAGTATCTGTGGAGTTCTCTTGAGCTTTCCCTCTGAAAAAAATGGGATGGGTGGTATTTGGCTGGTTATACTTGCTAATTAAAATAAATACAGATTTAAATGTGGAAGGGAAAAGGTCAGGTATCCAGACGCAAAAATGTATCCATGCTCCATGCTTTTTGGTCCATACGAAAAAGAAGGATTTGTGCTTTAGATAAAAGGATGAGAAAATATGACACATGCCCAGATTCTCTCTTTAAACACACAGGAGCCCTGGTTTCTTTTGCTACTGTTCACTGTGTGTGTGTGTGAGAGAGAGAGAGAGAGAGAGAGAGAAATATAACTATACTGTTCATGGATTCATCTTATTGTGATGCTTTATTTTCAGCGAGTGGTACATGAATGGGCAAATTTTAATAATTGTCGTCAGCGCTAGTGTCATCCTGCCCCTGGCTCTGATGAAACATTTAGGTAAGTGACAGAAAGTGTTTGCTTTGTGTTCTGCTTGTGCATGCTTGGATAAACATTGCCCGAATGCGTGTGTGTACTTTTTTGCGTCACTGCTGGTCTTCTACCTTAGAGTTCAAGGCAAGATTGTGTCATATCAGCCTATGGGTTGATGCACGTATATCAGTGCTACCCCCAACTGGAGGGAATCAGCATTGCTTCCTATGAGGATCTTGTACTAACAGTGATCTCGTAATCTACTGTTGCAGAGAATTATTTGGGACACAGAAGAATAGAGCAGAAAAGCTGTATTTCAGAGTTTTTCCAGTATGTGCATTCCCAAATTCAATTGTATTGACTTTCCAAATTGGATTTTTGATTGAATTTAAACTGTGCGCTCAAATCAGGTACATCTGAATCCACTCAATTCATTTGGGCTGACAGATGATTTTCACCTCTGTGCACTTGTATTTTTATAATCTGATTAAATACATTAATGGAATCAGAATATAAGGGTTGGAAAAGCTCTTTGGAGATCCTCTAATCCAGTCTCCCACTCAGTGTAGTAATCCAGTACTGTGGCATTGAATTGGTCCAATATGAATTTAATTAATCAGCCATTCTCATAAACTTAACAATCCAAATCAAATCAACCATTGTATACCCAATCAATAATTAGAAATCTTGTGCAATAAATAAATGTGAATTGAACGAAGCCCAATTTGAACACAATTATGCCAGTTTGAGAAACATATGCCAAACAAGTGCAATTTTTCTGGTTGCTTTGTTGTTTTGGTCAGCGGTACATGTTGTACCAGGCCACAAACTTTTCGTTTTCTACAATGGAATTAGTTGTTAAACGTCCTCTAAGGCTGTACTCGTGGCACTCTTTCTCCCAAATTTTCCCTATAGTATAGATGTTGAATTTGATAAGGCCATTATATCAATTTAGTACTAAGGAAGCTATCCAAGTTGCACTATTTTGAGAGCAGATATATCTAATTAGTGATGGTTTTCTTGTCTGTATTTAACTTTCTTTTGCTGTAAAATGTTTTGAAAGGCTTTATATCAAGATCCTCTATATAAGATTGATGCAGTCTCTTTGTTCTTCTATTCACAGGTTATCTTGGTTATACCAGTGGACTCTCACTCACCTGCATGTTTTTCTTTCTTATCTCGGTGAGTTACATAATTCCCAGAAACTCTGGCTTCTCCTGGGAAGAAAAGGTGTCAGATTTAAATAGGAAATATGTATCATGGTCCTTTAAGATTTGTCCAGTTGCTGCTTGTTTTGCTGATTTATCTGTCATTCACTCCATACTCCTTCCTGATGCTCACCATCCATTTTCCATTCCCACCACAAAGGTAATTTACAAGAAATTCCAGATCCCCTGTCCCTTCAATGATACTGTGGGGAACAATAGCACCATGGAGTCCAGTCATGATGCCTGTAGTGCTGAAGTCTTTCCTCTGAATTCTCAGGTTAGTATGAAGGTCTCTGAATCTAGTGAAATTGAAAAGATTAAGAGTCACAATAGGGCAGGGAGATGCAACTTGGTTGTATGAAGCCCTTGGAATCTGCTGACGCAAGTGAATGAGTGATCCTTTGCCTCCTGCCCTGTTCTAATCACCCAGTAAGCTTTGTGGCTAAAGGTGGGCTTGAAGCTTGATCTCCATGGGTTTAGTCCAGCATCTTAATCTCTGCAGCCCATTGCTTCTTTTCCTTTCTTTCAGTGAAGCACAGCCATTACTTAGGTCACTGGGATTGGGATTGGGATTGAGGTGCAGTAGGATTCCCAGACCATTCCTAATAACCATACCTAGAATTACAGGTTTTCTTCGGGGAGAGGGAGAACAATATTCTGCAAGTAGATTATTTGGGGATGAGGATGGGCTACAATCTGAGTATGTGCATGTGTGAGAAAATGGACTATACATTTTCTGTGAAAAAAAAAAAAGATCAATAACATGAATGTTGAAAATATTGGATGTTATATGTTAGTATGGATGCAGAATTTGTAAATTACAAAACATAATATTTAAACTGTAAAGATGTATTCAGTATACAAGGCTGAATAAATACTTGGACTTGATGAGCTTCCTCAAGAGTCCTGTAACACCATAGAAGAATTAACTAATCTTTTCACTGAACATTAATGTAAATATCAGATAACAGCATCCTGAAATAAAGATGGGATAGCTCTTTCTCAGTTTCAAGATTATATAGACCTATATCATAACTGTAAACTTCAGGAATGAACTTCATAGTGGCAAGGAGGCTATCAAACTGTTTAAAAAATCAGGGGTGTACATCCTTTGAGTGGCATACTAGAAGCCACACAGCAAAAAATAAGCAGAACCAGGGCAAATGTTGTATATGATTTAATTAAATTAACAAGATTACTCATCTTCTTTCACACAAAAAAAATTATTGGTAACTTTTGGAGGAGCTCTCTGGGCTATACCCAGAATTTTCAGGGGTGCATATAGCTCTAAGACCTCAGGTTATGTACCTGTGCTATAAATCAGGAAGCAACTGTGAAGGTTATAGAGGTAGAAAAAGCAATTGATAGAGTAGAATGGCTTTTTTGTTCCTATTGTTTTTCCTGTAAAAATATATACTGTAATATACTTATAATACAATGAAAATTATAATATACAATTATAAAAATTGTATATTTACCATCTAACTTTACTAATAAGATTTTCAGTAAAACAGCCCTACTGCCATTTTCATTATCTACTCATAGCAACTTCAATATATATATATTTGAGAAAGACAGCAATCTAGAAGTTCTTTTATTCCTTCTCCTTTTCTAGACAGCATATGCAATCCCCATCTTGGCATTTGCCTTTGTTTGCCATCCAGAAGTGCTTCCTATTTACACCGAGCTACGCAGGTGAGAAAACTGACAGCATAAATGGAAAGGTTCTGAATTTTCTAAAAGAATATAAGGAATGGAAACATCAGAAGGGCAATATGCAAAAGAATTTGAATTGTCTGGAGAAAAAAAATGCTAAAAAAATAGGTTCACTTAGTTATGTTCCCAATGAAAAGTGGGAAGGGCAGTGCTGGATAGGGAAGGAACAGACGCATTTAGTAGCACCCTACCCAAAGAGGCTCATCATACCTAGTTCTCCAGTGCATACCTTCCAGAATTGTGGGCTATAATGTCCATTATCCCTAATCAATGCTACTAGGGGTTATGGGAATTGTTGGTATAGCAGATGTGAGGGTAACACATTGGAAAAGGCTCAAATGAATATGTTCCTTTGGGACCCTTTCAGCTATATGAGGGAGGAAACTGGAGGATAGAATGGAAGAAACATAATATAGGAGAGCAAAAAACACTTTCTTAAGCTTGGGAGGTTATTGGGGGTTAGGATTTCTGTACCCAGAGTTTGACATCATCACAGCAAACCCCACCCATCTGTCTCAAGCATTTAGTGGGTGGCCAGGTCTTGCGGGGAAGTTGCCATGATTCTCTGCGAAAGGTAGCCCTGATCCCTGACTAGTTGTGCTCAGAGACAAGCACTTGACCAAGCGTGAGAGAATTGTTCAGGATGTGAAGTTTTTGTATAACATCTACCAAAGGGTCTCTTACACTAAAAAATTAAACTAGGGCGGTCTTTGTCAGGTAAGCAGCAGCTCCATGCCTCATGTGCAACTTATTGCTGGGAGACACAGCAAGACCTGAAAAATGCAGAGTTGGGGCCAGATGGAACATGCTCAAGGTTGGGTAATGCACAGAAATAGGCCAGCAAAGAATGCACTGGTGATAGAAAGGGTAATAAAACGGAGGCTATTCCCCCTGCTCTTTCAGGGTAAATGTACATAACTTCCAATAACAGTTGGGGGGTTTCCAGACAGTGATGTCTTAGTGCTACCAGTCCAAAAACAACTATTTCATTTTTCCTGCTTCATGGGTTTTTTTATAAATGGAAAAAGAAAAAAATAAAGACACAGCTTGGCAAAGCCCAGATAGGCAACAGCAGCTATTGAACAATGTCATTTGGATCTTCCTTTCCTCCCTGGCTGAATTCCAAGGACAAGTAGAGGGATTGTTAATGGGATTTTTGATTGTGTATCTTTTTTCACTGAAACATTGATGTAAAGGGCAGGCAGTTTGAACAGCCAGACATCACATTTTAGGGCTGTGCAGCATTTTGGATTGTATGGCTCCCTTACACAGCTGCCAGGAAAATGTATTCCTGCTTTTGAGGACAGACGTGTTAATAATATCCTGCGCACTCTGCGGACTTTTTTGGAATCCAGTCTAAAGGGCTGCACCACCATACAAAATAGTACGGATAATACACCTGAATGAACTACCCAGCCTTTCTCTGTTACTAGAACCAACAGCGCTTTCCACATACAAGATATTAGGAGAATGAAGCTATGGGGTAGGGCTGTGGCTTCTAGGACATTTTTTAAAAAATTTACAATTGAAATTGTAGATCGTGTCAGTATCAGCATTCTCCTTCACAATGTGGTTGCCAAATTGCAACTTGGAGATGTTGCGTTTTCTTCTGAATATTATTTGGCTTCTCCTGGTTTGGACTACCTACTCACTCATCCCGTCTGTGAAGGAATTGGAGACCTAATAAGTTTTAATGGAGTCTGAAATTTGTGTCTTCCTTAGGGCTTCAAAGCGTCGAATGCAGAATGTAGCCAATATCTCCATCCTGGCCATGTTTTCCATGTATCTGATGACAGCTATCTTTGGTTACCTCACCTTTTATGGTAAGGGACATTCTTCCCAGGAGGTACTATTGAGGGTGCCACTTAATTCTCTTTCATACACAGGAAAGGAAGAATTTCCCTCTCTGCTTCATCTCCATGGCTACCAGAGGTATGATGCTTCCCTTGGTCCTATGTTAACATGACATCTTTGTTTGTAGTCTTTCTTTTTATATATGCAGAAGACAGACTGGAAATATAAAAGCAAAGCATAAGCATAAGGCAATAAAGGACAGTTAACATCTCCTCTGATTAAAACATCTGATGGAACTGAGAGATATTCTTAAATCTTCCATGGAAATCTTGGAAGGAAAGGTTATTTGCTGCCTTTGCTTCACCTTTCTTCAAGAAGCAAAAATATCATAAATGGCTCCTCTCCCCTCTCCAGTTTACTCCTTTTAGACTTAGTCCAACTCTAACCCTTGCAGCCACCCAAGAATGATATAGGACAGCTAAGTATAACTTGAGGCCCAAGGGCCAATTGTGGTCCAGTAGCAGTCCCTAAAGTAGGTACATTGGTTGAGTGTTGAACAAGTTGGTCTAGTTTTACTGGACCTCAATGTAACGGACTTCATATCACAGATCAAATTTCTGCTGTGATTTATACCATTTGTATGATGATGCCATTATGCAAATGAGATAAATTACATCCTTTGGGTCCATTTATGTCCTTTGCCTCATGAATTACATAAATCCTCATAATGCTCTACTCTGCAATTCAATGGACATTAATTCCTGAATAATTTAACCAATTCTGTCTCTCCAGTTAGCTCATGAACATGAGAGGCCTCACTTGTATTGTAATATAATTTTTAATGTCTCAGGAAACAAAATTACTGTACAAATAAGAAAAGATCGTGGTAACTGAATTCAGCCTAATTGAAAAAAATACTTCCTTTGTTCTGAGCCTGTCTTCTTTTTGGACTGCAGCTTCTGGCATATTACTCCAAACTTAACTGTGGCCCTCACTGGTAATTGGTAATTGCCTGTTTGCCTACCAGAAGAGTGTGCTTTGTGCCTTTCAGCCTAATTTCAAGAGCCCTCTGCAAAATAACAGTTTAGGCTTCTTGTATGAATTCTGAGCTCCTTCCTTGCAGCCTGCTGTTTGGGAGAAAGAAAAAGGAGTACTAAAATGGAAAATAATTATTCCCATCCACTTAGCCTTTGCTCCTACCCACTGGTTCTTACAGCCCTGTCCATCATATGTCCCCCTGAATAGATGTCTCTTGAGGGAAGTGGCTATTAGTTGAAAAAAGGTAGCCCTTTGCTGGCCTACTGTACCATGAGGGATAATGATTGGGATAGTGAATACCGTACCATGAGGGATAATGATTGGCTTGGGCAGTAGAGGTTGGGAGGGGGAACAATTGGATAGTCTCCTCAGTCAGTCCTCCTTACTTGCCCTAACTGCCCCTCTGTTGGAGGATGAAGCTGAGAGTGCTGTGCAGAATATCTTATGTCCTCAAAATAAAGTACTGTCACTTCTCTAGGTGGGGTGCCACCTTTTTTTCACCCCCAACAGCAGAATGCTTAAAGTTAAGCTTTTTTTTTTTATCATTTTACTCTTTAAAAACAAAACAAAACAAAACACCAACCTTGTCTAGGGATTAGGCTGAAGCAGGGGTGGGAGATATTTCTCAGCTAGCTTCTGTTTCAAACTCACAAAACTCTTTCGCGTCACCCTTGAGAGAAGAACGAATTCACATTTGCATTGGTTGACTCGGGGGTATTTCAGAACAGGCTCTGCTTCCTCTGATGGCTTCCACTTCCCTTCCCTTGTAGGAACTTATCTGGAAAGGAGATTAATATTTCAGAAGTATGTTTTCAGATTCATCTGTAGAGATGTGATAGAAGATGTTTCTTTTTATGTTGGATATGCAAAATATTTTCATATAAGTGGCTGTGCTTCCCCCATTGACATCTTTTTTCCATGCAAAAGCTGAGATGAAAGGAGTGCATATGCCACAGTTTTTGAACATGCAAGCAACAGGATAAAAATACCCTCTAGGAATGTGTGCATATCATAACTGTCAGATCCAGTGGCAACATGACCTGCTCCAGACTGTTGTTTGCAAGACATTTCTTGTTCTGGTTGTTTTCCATGCTGTTCCATCCTAGGACTAAAGGTGGCACACAGGCTGAATTTCTTTCTTGGGGATGTTTCCAGTTGAACCATTCCTCACTTTACCAATGACAATATATTGTCCTTTTAGAGGAGGACAAGAAACACACTGTAGATCACTCACATCCACTTTTCATAGACTTTGCAGTGGGACATTCATGAGCATTAAATGAAGTATACTGGTGTCTATCATTCCCCAACCAAAAGCACACACTTCTGAACCTTGCATAGCAAGAGCAGTAGTTGTGTTTTTAAAGCTTGTATCAAGAAAATTTACATTCAAAATGCCTTGCCTCTGGGGAATTAATAAAACAAAGAACAGCAAATTCAAACAGGACATTTGGATTTTAACAACATTCTTGAGCATAGATGAAGAACAGTTAGGGGAACATCCATATACAGCTACCATATATTAAGGCAGTTGGAGTTCTAAACCATTTACACATTTCATCAATATTTCTTTTTAATGCAGTGGACCAGCTGAAATGGGCCAAGCTTGCACTGATTTTCAGGGCTGGCAACTATATGATCTTAGTGAAGAAGTAAAAGACTAAAGAAGGGCAGAGTATGCAAGAGCTACAGTAGAAGATGTGGTTGTCTGCAGCTCTTGTAAAGATTCCATGATGTGATCTGAGCCTCATCTGGAAGTGCTGATGTCTGAAAATGCTCTTAAAGACCAGGTTTTATATAAAAATTACAGGAAAGTTAAAGATCTGGGAGTTTTGTTCTCTTTTAAAAAAATCTTATAGCAAGAGAGGAGTAGCCTTTTAGTGGTCAAGGATCGTAAGTAATATTGGGGTAATATTGAGGTTGAGGCAGAGAGCCACAAAGGGATTGGGGTAGCATCTCGTATGTCAACAAGGCTCAGTTTGGAGAGTTTCTTTCTTTCTTTGTTTAACAGTGATTGCATACTTCAGGGTTTGTGTGACAATCTGTTCCTCATCTCAAAAGAGTGGAAGCATGTGCTATCAGTTTTCAGTAGCTTGATCCAAAGGGGATTCCACAGACCCCCAAAAGGAAATTAAGGGAGCACCTGTAGCTCTGAGGCCACAAGTTTTCCACTCCTATTTTATAGTCGCCTCCTTTCTGATATCTAAATGCCTCCCTTCTGCTTTTGGCAGGGAATGTTGAAGCAGAGATGTTGCACACATACATCAGAGTTGACCCTCTAGACAAGCTTATCCTTTGTGTGCGATTGGCTGTACTCCTAGCTGTGACACTCACTGTGCCAGTGGTTCTGTTTCCGGTAAGATCTTTCTCTCCCCTTGTAGCACTGAGTGGCTTACCACCACTACCCCTTAATCCTAGGCCACGGAGCTCTGTGTGATCTCCCTCTTCTGCTCTTAATCCTACCCAGAGAACAGTGTCAGATTTGGAGCTGGCAAATTTAAGCCACCACTGATCAGAATGGACCAATGGAAAAGACTTTGCCTGAACCTTTATATTAAATTTTACTGTGCCTAAATTTTGGGACACAATAATTAAATATTCTTACCATGTTTACTCCTGCTTTCATTTCCCATCTTATTTCTACTCTGTAAGTTCTTTGGGGCAAGGACCTTTCCTCTTGCTCTTTGTCATGAGATTGACTTTATAGAAGTAGCCAAAAGGCTGAATGGCATTACATAACTAACAAAAAGCAAGTAACCATTATAGTTTATTACAGTGATACAAGCAGCTTTATATAGGTTATCTCCATGCAGTAATCCTTATGGTAGCTCTGCAGAATAGGCTAGCTTGTTACCTGCAATAAGAAATGTGGATGGAGAAGAAATAATGAAGCTTGACCAGCCCAAGTTAACTATGCTTCCTCTGAAGTGCCGTAGGTCTAGGGAAGGGATTGCCCAGGACTGTGTTTGGATAACATACTGAACCACCAACTAGTAAACCATAGCCTAGCCTATGAACTCAAGTTATCTGATTTGTGGTTTAGCCCAGAAAACTGGTATCCAGGTAGTCCTTGCTTTGTGACTGCCTCGTACAACGACCGCTTACAGTTACAACAGTAACTGTGACCAATCCTCGCATTTATGACCTTTGCAGGTCTGTAAAGCAAAGGAAAGCTGACGTGAGATCATAAGCACAGTCGTGGTTTCACTTAGCAACTGCTTCACTTGATGACTGACTTGCCAGTCCCAATTGTGGTCACTAAACAAGGACTACCTGTAATTGCGTTAACTACGGTTCAGTTAACCATGGGTAAGCATATTGTATGAACACAGTCAGTGTCTCAATAGTATGCTTCAGTCTCCATGTAGACAGTTGCCTATGTGCCCTGATGTAAAGCAGATACTTAAGTCTCTTTGCTAAAGTCATCCTTTACTCCTAGATCCGCAGGGCCATCCAGCAGTTGCTCTTCCCCAAGAAGGATTTCAGCTGGCTCCGTCACATCATCATTGCTTGCAGCCTGCTTTTTATTGTTAACCTCCTTGTCATTTTTGTGCCAAACATCAAGGATATTTTTGGAGTCATTGGTAAGCATGGGTACTTCTCTCCTGTGTGAGGCTGAACTGTAGCAGAGAATTTAGTGTAAATGCTATGCTGGGTTTCTTCATGGGCTGAAGGAGCAGAACACCCAGCAACCCAGTTCTAGGAACATGTGGACAGTCTTTTCCTTCTGAACTAGCACGATGCATGTAACAGTTGAGTTCACACATTGCATTGATTTTAACTATGGTTTGTCGAGTTTAAAAAAACACATTGAAAATCTTGTATATGTTGAATATAGAAGTCTTTGCCTAGCATTAAATGACAGTGAAGACAGTAACGAGGCGAGACAGGCAAGGTGTTACACAGTTATAAACAATGCAGTTAGTCCGTATTATACTCTTTCTTGCTACTATCTCTCATTTCCAAATTTTGCTTCCCCTGCTCACAAGTTTTCCCCCATTTTGGGATTTTGAAAGCATGTTTGCTAAGATAAGTACACATCTGGAATGTGGAGGGTAGGAGCAGCTGGTAAGGTGATGTTGAGTAGAAAAATGGGCAACAGGAAGTGAATTTAGGATTACTCCCCTGCCTCTTCTTCTCTTCTACTCAGCCCCATTCCCTAGAGACTTCTTTTCTTTTTAGTTACTCACACTAAGTAAATTGCTGAAGAACTGATTTGGCCAGCTGTTTTTTTCTTTTCTTTTTTTCCCCATTTGGAGTAGATCTGCAGAATTCAGAAAGTTTTGGAAGAGGGAAACAAGCATTGTCACCTGCAGATTCATGGAGGTTCAGGCCTACAACTACATGAGTTGCCTGACTTTGGCAACTTTGTTCCCTGTGCTCCTCCTACGTGCACCTGCTTAGCAAATAAACCAGCATTTCTGTCCACTTGAGTTGTATAATCTTTTCATATCCATTAGACAGTTGTCTCCTGCGAACAGGAAATCTCCTTCCTGCATTTAGATGCTGAAAGTTAAATGTAGGTAAATTGTATATATGTTTACTAAAGCTGCCCAGGTGTAATTATGGAACTTGGATTTTTAAAACATAGTTCAGACTATTTCAACAAGGCCCAAAACAAAAAGTAACCCAAGAAGTGAATGGGAATCCCAGTAGCAGTTGAGGACTTAGTGCCCCTGCCCTGGAAGTCATCCTGGCTCCTCCCCGCTTCCCCTCCCAATATAGGAAATGGGGCTTTGGAGTTGGTAGCCTTTGCCTCCGGAGGAGATTCAGCTTTTAAAAATAGCTGTGTGCTGGAGAAATCTGTCTCATTTCATTTTATGGCTCTGAGCTATAACATTTCACCCAGAAAAGTATTAGGATCAGATGGATCCAAATACTTGCTGATTGAAGACAGGTAAAACATTTCAACAGGTATGAAAAGATACTATCCTACTGTACAGGAAGCTTACCAAATCCATCCATTGGTTCTTTGAGTCAGTATGATTTATAATGGCTGGGTTCATGCATCACGTCAAACCAAAACTAAGCGAACCACATAATGGCTTGGTAAAATGTTTGCCCTTAGTTATTGTGGTTTGTAAACAGTGGCTGATGGCAGCATCAAGAGCCTTTCAGGCTTCACTGGTGATTTTCAGTTGTGTGTCATTTTGAGGCTGTAAAAACTCAAAAACTGTAGTATATGTGTAAAATACACTTAACACTGTTTAAAAACAAACAAACTACAAATCCTATGCTCAATCTGAAACAGGAAAAAAAAATTGAAAATTCAATCCCTGTCCACTGACAAGTTGTATGTATTCCGTACAGTACTGTCATCCCCTACAGACAGCAACCCTGAGCTTCCTCATTAAGTCTAGCCTCCTGTCTTTCTGATTTATGGTATAGTGCTGACTGAGGAAAAAAAAGGAGTTGTATATTGATTTATGGTATAGCATTATTATATATAGTATAAGAGGTACAGTGTTGCAGTTGTCCTTTATGGCTAATTTGTAAACCATGATTTAAAAATCTTGGCTTAGTAGTTGACTGGCAGCATTTCTCCAGGGCTTCAGACAGACCAAAGTTTGTCAGTAATACCTGGAAATGCAAGATTGAAACATCTGCATGCAAAGCTTGCCCTCTACCTCTCTGCTGCTACCTCTTCCCTAAAAAGAAGCAGTTGCACTCCTGTATATTTATTTATTTATTACATTTATATTCTGCCATTCATTTAGATGCTCAGCACTTTGTAGATAGTACATAGCACTCCCTCCTTTACTTTTCTCCATAATAACAACTCTGTGAGGTGGGTTGGGTTGACAGAGAGCGTGATTGGCTCAAAGTGACTGAGGATGGACTTGAACCTGAGTCTCCTTGGTTATAGTCTAACATCTAAACCACCACACTACATTGGCTCATTGTTATATTTTATTATAATCATTTACTTACTAGACTTATAAAGCTGCTCAACTCAAGCAATTTGACTCTGGATGTCATGTAACAGAAAAAACAAAGAATAAACTAAGGAAAAAAACCCCAAATAACATAAACACATTATATAAATATAAAATGGCAACCAAGTATAATAATAAAAACAACCAAAAGGAGTTTTTAGTCAACTGGACTAAAAACTCATGAGGAAAAAGCCAGGTCTTCTTATGATATGATACGATATGATAATTTATGTAATGCAGCAGCAGACTATCTCTTATAAAATCCAAATGAAGAAGGAGGGGAAGGAAGGAGGAAGTAGAAACCATGGGGAGCACATGGTACAAGATATAACCCTTCCTGATTTTACCCCAGCAAGCTGTTCTCCATTTTACGGTCTTTTTTTCTCCCATGGCTCAAAGTTTAGGATAGCTATTTATCCAAGAAGATGCCATGATATCTGCAATAGTATGGAGGAGCCAATTCAGTGGAAATCTCTCCCTGAAGCCCTCTGTATTTCACGCCCTACCTCCTACCCCTTGGAGTAGCAGCTTGTACTCATTGCCATCACCTGACTTCTAGGGAGCACCTTGCCTGGTGTCCTCCCCTCCTAACCCCAGCATGTGAGAGAGAGAGGGCTTTTACATTCTGTGTTGTTCTCTGGCAATTACAGGGTAAAAGTGGAAAACGCTATTGTGCCATCTCTTGGCCAAATAGCACTGAAGTGTGTGACTAGAGATACCAGTCCTTTCCCCTTGGGAGATAAATCCAATCTCACAGAGAATAAGCAAAATTAAACTTTATTTTTGAAAAAAGATAAAATACTTAAGCTTTTAAGATCCTTTTAAGTCTAGATTTTTAGGTGCTTTTTGGTTAAATATTAAAATACAGATAATCACAATAGACTACAGAGCTGTTCTAGTCTAGGAATCCAGTAACTGCAATTGATTGAATAGGAAAAAGTATCTAACCGAATATATAAAAGTAAAAAAAGAATTCCATCAGACCACAAGATGGCACTGATCTACTACCAACAAGAAAAATCTTGCTTTTAAGAGGCCAGTAATACAGAACCTCTGAATGTTTGGCTCAAGGTGACAGAAAAGACCATGCCTTTAAATTGTGCAGAGATGTAAAAAATATTGCAAGACACATAAGACAAAGGTTAAGGTTGCTAGTGCAATTCTAACCAGGCATTTATTTCTAGCCAAGAAACAGACCCTCATATCAGATTTCCCCACTTATGATTCAATTTACTTGATTTACATTTCAATTCAATTTCTGACTTTTTTGATTTTCTGAAAGTTCCAAGCTTTAATTGGGAGCTGAAGGAGAATGATCTCTGCTTTTTCCTCTCCTTTGTGGAACACTGTTTCTTGGTTGTCTTCCTTGTCCCAACAACAAACCCACTCCTCCTGGAGAGGGGGGATAAGGGCAAATTTGCTTTTGCGTAGTGCCAAAGCCCACGGCTAAGGGAAGATGTGTATTGGGTATGTCTGATGTTAGGGTTGGGAAGAGAGTTGAATGCTGGCTGGCTATTTTCATCATCTGTGTTCTTTCTCTCAGGAGCCACATCAGCCCCCAGCCTCATCTTTATCCTTCCCAGCATTTTCTATATCCGAATTATCCCCAACGAAAAAGAGCCACTACGTTCCAGACCCAAAATCCAGGTATTGGCTATTGGCAGGCAGATGGGCAGGGGCTATACAACATGGGAGTTATACTAGAGAACTGGGTGAAGAATTGGGTAAAGGCTTAGTGCAAGAGGCTAGCAGGTTGGAGTTCATTCAGGAATGTTGTTTTCTGAACTCTCCATTCCCCTTTGAGCTGAGGATTTTCTCAATCTTTAATCATCATAATGAGCTGGTAGTTCTGCACCCAGAAGTAGAATGAAGCAACGTTTGAGGAGAGGCATTTGGAAGCCAAGGTTGCTGAATCCAAGGTGATTGGGAAGTAGCAGGACAGGTGGGATAAGGGGATAAGGGATGTTCTATACTGATCGTATTTGGGTTGCTGGGGGCCGTGGAGTCCTCTTGTTCCCTCCTGAAAGTCCTGTGAAAAAAGAAAAGATGATTCTGAGGAACTATCTATCATTAATTTCTTTCTCCCTCCGCAGGCTGCGTGTTTTGCTGCCCTTGGTTTCATTTTCATGGTGATGAGCCTCACTTTTATCATCGTCGACTGGGTAACCACAGGGAAGAGTGCTGGAGTGAATCACTAACAAACCCCACTCCTGCCCCCAAGAGACAAGGTGGTTCTAACCAGGGAGACCATTCAGTGCCAGAGAAACTGCAGTGCCTTCTGCTGTTTATCCTCACTCATCCTGGAGACACCACAATTGCCTGCCCATCACTTTGGAGAAGTGTTGGAAGGCACCCCTTTGGTGCTGTGGCAATGCAAAGTAATTTGGAACAGCTCTGGGCTTCACTACGGTCCTTCTGAGGCCTAGGCCTCTAAAACAGCCTCTGAAAGAGCCTATCTGTTGCCACGAATAAGCTCCCTTCATTTGCTGGCTCCTATGGTAGCAGCATGATGCTCCTGGCCTTCGTTTTTTTTCTCCCTGGCAATACAGCACCATCACCAACAATTGCATGTCTCAACAAAACCATGTGGGGTTTGGTTTGGGGTTTTCTTTGCCCAGGATGATCGTGCTGCCTCTTGACAAGGTTTGGTTTGGTTTGCCTTTTTTCCATTCTCCTCCTCCTCCTCTTCTCCTCCCCCTTTGCCATTATGGAAGGAATTTCTGGCTGGTTTTTCCTCATTTGTCATTGTACCAAATGGTGCCTTGATGTCTCAACAACTGTGACTCCTTATCCTTTGTTATCCAACATGGAAGTGGGGTCCTGTTCCTGGTTACTATGGAGGCAGAGCCTCGCCTCCATCCACTTGCCTGATATCACTCAGTCTCCTGCCTGATATCACTTAAGACAGCAGCAATGATGCCAGCTGACAGTGAAGGGGATGCCACGCCTGGATGGGTGCGATCGAAGCAACGGACAATCTAATTTATTTACTCGTATTTAATTTGAACCTGGCTACCAGACCAAAGAATATAAATAACATAGCCATCCTGATGCCTATCTAATCCATGCCACGATTCCAGGTTTTTCAGACATAGAAGAGGTCTGGGAATCAAGGGAGGGAGGAGAAATAGGGAGCCTGGAATCCTGGACATCTTCTCCCAGCTCTGGAGGTAGAGTAGAATGGATCATATAGGTACAGTGGGAGACTCAAGGGCTCCCTGGTAGCGGGAGGGGAATGCAGCTCCCCCAAATTGTGGGAGAAGGTCGCTTGCTTTCTCCTATCTGAACAATGCTAGATTTTTTCCTGAGGCCATCCAGAAAAGTTAATACTACCTACACTACACCACCACCTGGTGATTTCCCTTTGATGCAACTCCCTGGGCCCCAGGGATTAAATTTATAAGTGCTACATCTGAATTCAGGATTCCATTACTTCCTATCTGAAAGTTCGGAAGTAGCTGAATCTGCTGCTACGGCTCAGTTAACTTCAAGTGGTGCTGATATGCAAAATGACAAAAGCGTTTACTAATACAATGGCTGTAGTTATACATCATACTTAACCAAGCCAGTTACAAATCTAACGGATGCATTTGCACAATATGCTACACGTGGCTAGTTTTTCATGGTTTAGTATGTTGTGTAAGCCCACCTGGTTAGTTTAGGGCTTGGCGTATGTGTGCAAATAAATTAATTCAGTGATCAGTTTAAGTGTGATACAAGCCAGCAAGGCGTTCCTAGGCATATCCCTTTGGAATTGCCACACCAGATTCTCTTTCCCCAGCATCTGTGCAATGACATCTTAAATCACTGTCCTCCAGTATGTTCCCTGTGTAATTTCTACCTTTTTCAATTCAGAGATACTGAGGTGGAAGTGAGAGAACAATGGTAGGCCAGTTTTACTAATCATGGATCGCCTTTCCTCTGCCCGAACAGGTGTAGTTTTGTTATGTGCAGTGAAGCTACTAAGGAATTTAACATGTAAGGATGCACCTGTATATCTTCACTGTTATCTTCATGGTCACTGACATGTGACCTCTTAATCTTTTAATTTGCACTTTTCAGGATCTTTTGAAATTCTTTTCTCTCTCTCCCTCTCCCTCTCTCCCTCTCCCACCACAATAGCACTTACATGTAAAGATGTTTTAACAAAACAAAATACTGCTATTCCAGCAGAACATGCCACTTTATTTTTATATTTTGAGACATTTATGTGCTATTCACCTTTTTCTATAATCGAATTAGTCATGTTAGAAGGTGTTGTAGTCAAAACTTTGAGAAGGGATGAAAGTCTTTTTTTTAAGTTGAAAGTTGATATGTTCATGTGAATAGTTAGTCCTTTGACTCTGAGGAGCTAAATATCCCCTGAATTGAGGACCTTTCATTGCAGTTTTGCATGTCCCTTGAGGGTGAAACAAAACAATGGTTGGAAACTAGATCTTTTGCTAGGAAGGTTCTGAGCCCAGTCTGACAAAGATATGTTTTCAGGATCACAACCTCTATTCCGTTATTCATCTGTATCCTCATTTTTTTTCATCTCTAATTATTTGGTATCTTTCTACCTTTTGCTCCCCTTCTGCCTGTTATCTAGCTTTTCCTTGTGCAGATGTCAAAAATTGTTCTTGATCTTGGCTGCACAAGTGCTAATACTGCCTAGTTGTATAATTGCTTGCTCACACTTAAAGATATCTTCTTAAATGCACTTATATGGCATCGCTGATAAAAACCATCTAATGAAAGAAAGTCAGTTAGCTTCTAAGGCAGCCTGCTCCACTGTCTGAACTTTCAGGAATGTTCCTCCTAACTTTTAGTGGAAATTATCTTGTAATTTGAACCTTTTAGCTTGGGCCATAGCCCCAGAAAGAGAAAACAAACTTGATCTGTCATCTGCATAAGACCTTTAATCTTGATTCTGTTGAACTGCAGACATAATGGTATCACAAATACCTAGGCTTGATTTTGGAAATGAAAGATGATGGAAGGGTTTCTTTGACCACCCTATCTCCAGTATACATAATGAGTTCTGCATTATGTACATTTATTCTTCTTCAGTTTTTTTTTAAGCTTTTATCTCTTGCTTCTTGTTTATCTGTCTCAATGTAAAGAACTGTTAGGAATTCAGTATTTCCTTTCCATTGAGAAGCTGAGACTCTTGATGGCTTAACTGAATGATACGGGTTCCTTTAGATAAAGTTTGTGCATTTCCCTCCAACCAACATGAATCACACATCACAGCTTTTCTCTGCTGATTAATCTATCTTATTTGAAAAGGAAAGACACTTAGAAATATGTCATTGTGGCACTTACTGCCCAGAATAATATCCATTATTTGTGCTGCACCATCCTTCTACAGTACACGGAGCAGCTGTCTGCCTTTAGAAGTCTACATATGGAAAACTTAGATTAAACTGGAGGTGGCTTGTATCTTTACAAAAGGATCCATATGCTCAGCAAAAATGAGAGCACTGTTCCAGTGTAGTAATAGTATTAAGGCTGTGCCTGTCAAAATACTTCCCCCCCCACATCTGTAAAGTGTTCATGAATTGCAATGTTGAAAAGTGTGCTGTTTGCAGATTAACAACATAATCCTGTGCATATCTACTCAGAAGAAAGTTTCCATGGGATTTATTCACAAATAAGTCTGCTTAAGATAATAAGAATTATCCCAAGAATTTTAGCTATTTTATTTTATTTTATTTTATTTTATTTTATTTTTCGGTCATTCTAGGCGGTTCTAGATTTTTTTCAAAATAATCTGCCACATGATTCATCCTGTCTTTTCCTGTTAGAATGCTCATTAGCATGAGAAATTGTTATAAGACTTGGTTCAGATCATGCTTTCCAAAATGTGCTAGAGTTTCAGTTTCTCATATGATCACTGACCAGAATACTCAGTTTATGTAATTTGTATGGTTTATTAACAAGGTAAGCCCCATGTTTTGGTACCTTTATCTTCTGGTACATATCTGCGATCATACTAAGTTCATACATACATACTGAACTTTGGAATTCTAAACAGACTCATTACTTGGAGTGATATTCAATTAACCCTTCCTAATGGTGGAACAAATTTCATCCTTAGAACAAGCACAATGTCAGAATCTGTTTCTGAACATAGGGTAAAAGAGAGTAGAAGAATTCTGAAGTGGAAGTTGGCTTGGGCAGGGTAGGATACAGAAACACTCGAAGTGAAGTTTTCCGTAAAGGGGACATGCTTTGCTGAATCTGATTGTCATATTGCTGCTCATTCCTTATCTGATTCTGAGGAGAAGCAACTTCATGCAAGGTAATTGACCCGTGCTACTTCAAAACTAATGCCACTGATTGTCATGCTGCTCCCATTTAAATACTAAATGCCTGTGCTTTTCGCTCTCCTTGGCTTACCAGCTGTAGGGTGGTCAGATGCAAAAGGGGATGGTCCAAACAGCATATAAAAGAGAGAAATTCACTAGAAAAGAATTGTCATAGCAGCTGTGCTTGCTGACACCCCCTCTTCAGTGCAGCTGTTAAAGTGCAGGAGTCTTGGCCTCTCTTGCAGCCAGCTGCTGCACTAAACGTATGCTTTTAAACATTAGAGGAGAAACTCAGGTCATGTCCCTCAGCAACACCAAACCATAGTTGAAGTGATGGAAGGCCTGTTAGGGAACAATGGTTGATGACTCTAGTAGACATTCTAAGTCGCAAATGGTTGCCTAACAACTGCAGCCTCTTCTAGCCCAGCTGTCATTCAACGTAGTGGGAATGCAGAGTGGGGCATCTGGTTAGAAGCATTCACAACTGACCCCTTGACTTGGAAACCTGATACCTTGTGGGAGAGCTTGCTCTCTTTGCTGACCCATTGAAGTCCACACCTTTTCCTCATCCAAGTGGTTATGTACCTCACTGCAACACTACCCCACTAGGATCTGGATGGCCTCAGCTTTTTTACTTTTTTTCCATTATTTGGGGCTGGCTTTCTGCTTGGGGTAGTAATGGGATCCAGATTTAAGGGAGGAGGGAACACATTCAAAATGTGATATTGATGTAAGGACACAGTATTTGTATAATTTTGGTATTCAATAAAGAACTGTTGACCTTATACTGTGTATGCAATTTGTTTTTATTATTTAGAATAAACTCCTTTATCCCACTTTGAAATGATGGCTTTATGCGTATGCATATGCTCATTTATGTGTGAAAACATATTCCTTTCCATTGAGATACCTACTTCAAATAGTCCTTGTTTAGCAACCATGGTTGGGACTGGCAACTTGGTTATTATGTGAAGCATTCACTAAGTGAAACCACAACTGTGCTTATGTTCTTACTTCAGCTTTCCTTTGCTTTACAGACCTGCAAATATTGTAAATGCAAGGATTGGTCACAAAGTTACTTTTTCATCACATTGTAACTGTGAATGGTCACTAAATGAGGCAGTTGCTAAATGAGGACTGCCTATATAGAAATGGTTTTAAAAGGAGGGGGGACTCCGATTCAGTTGTATCTATTGGATTTCCTGTTCTTCAGCATATCCCACGTTACTGTCCAGTTGAGCACAGGTCTCATTTCTTATATTCTTGGTAAAATGTTTAAGAAATGTTTTGTCTCACCTGCACCCTGCTGTACCCTTCTCAATCCCATATCTTCCTGAAGCCTTTCTGTTGGTTTGTTGTGGTTAACAACAAAGCCATCCTTGGAACCATTCATGGTTCTGGAAAGTCTCCTTTTGCTAGTTGTGACATCACTTAGGTAGGGCAGTAAATTTTGTACCCTCAGACTTGAATTTTTTTTTTAGACAACAGAGACAACGGAGTCTTGAGACCAAATACTTCTTCCAAAAGTGTTTTCCTAGTTCTATCTTTGTAATGATATTTCTCTCCTAGTCTTCCTCACGTCCTTGCTTCATATCTTGGAGATTTGCTAGGCGCTGGCATATAATTTGGATATAGCTAAAGTTTCATCCCTAATGTGAGGGCCTCAGACAGGTTCCACCCAGCTCTGCTGCAGGATTTCCTCTTCATCTTCCCTACAGCATAAAAAACACCCAATTCCTGAGAAAGTATGGGATCATTCTACTAGAGCTGTGATAATGTATCATACTTAGAATCATTGACTGTAACAAAATACCTTGCTTGGAACTTCCTACATACTAAAGTGGTATCTCTTATGATTCCTAAGTTCTTGGTTAGAACCTGGGTCATCAGAAAATATCTAAAGACTGATGTGTATTGTTCATTGATGATGATGATGAGAAAGAAGAAGAAGAAGAAGAAGAAGAAGAAGATTGCATGATACATAATCCCAACTTCCAACACCATCTTTATGTCCAGATAGGTTCCATAAAGCATTGTTAGAAAAAAACAAGAGTTGTACTTCATTGGAAGCATGTCCACTTGCACAGAAACAAGAAGAAAGGAAACTTAAGGATGATACAGCATGTCTTGGTTCTACAGAGGGTGGGGAAGCAGTCTCATTTCTCAACTGCTTGCCTCTGTTACATGAGTATGTGCCTGCTAATAAATCAGGATGATTAATAAATAGTTTCTTCTTTCATACACCTTGCAATTAGTCAGTTTGTCCATTTACTCAACCATGCATGCACTCTTCCTCTCTCTGCATTTTATCTCCTTCAGCCATGAGTTAGCTTCTCTAGGATTAGACATTCAAAAGTGGAATTCAAGCAGTGTTTGCCTCTTAGAGCAATCTTCCCCTAAACTCAAATACTAAGAAGTCACAGCGATGTATTTCACAAAATACATATGTATACTTTTCTGGATGGCTTTATAACCTTCCCCTCTCCCCACCCCCAGAGTATGAGGAACTGAATATGGTTTCATAATTCTTTTGCTTAGATTGCTGTTTGGTCACAGTGGAACAATACATTTTTAAAAATATTTATTTTTTGCAAGAAAACAATGTTTAATCTTAATTTAAAAAAATTAAAAGTACAAACTAAAAATACAAACTAAGAAGGAAAAGAAAAATCTATCTTACATTTTATACTTATCAGTCACTGGTTTACCAATGAATTCTCTAATATGAACAACACAAGATATTATTGTAAGATACTGTATCACAGAATCTCTGCCATAATAACATATTGTTGCATCCTTTGATTAATAGAAAATACTGCCTTTTCCAAAACAGATAGATCACATATTTCTAACAAAAATAATTGGACATAAGCATTCTGTTCTCTATCAGTATTGCTCAGGTGGGAAGCAATAAGCAATGTTGGGAAAGACCTT